GCTAGTTCTTAAAGTGTCTGAGAATCCAACCGCTATGAATATAGCGTGAATTGGTGCGATGCTTTTGCACAGCACATGAAGTGTGATGCCCTCCCAATCCCATGTATTATTATTTTCGTAATGCATTGCACGAAGGTGCAATATGGCTGTGGAATTGCAGGTATGGTGCGATATCTCAGTGCATTGCACCATGCGTGCCATATTCATAGCGTTCGGAATCTCCGTGCATCTGCACTACACAGTAAAAAAAGATTCGCTGTTTTGGTGGTCGTTTTATATCCAATCTCACCGAAACGGGTACCCCTACAAACCCAGCGACGGTCCGTCACCAAAACGGTAACCTGCGTCACCGGGTGGTGTTCCGCCAGAGAGGTTAGGATGACCACAACAACTGTTTTTGAGCTGTCTGTGCATATTTGTGCGTGCCCGCCGGCAACGTTACGCTTTGATGAGTCACGCGAATGATTACTGACAGCCCCTGACTTGTTTTGTGTCCTATTTCACATTAATACGACGATTAAAGGCGCTGGCGGGAGGGTGACTGCAGTGCCGTTCTGGTGAGGTGGTTGCTCCGGAACGGACCGAGCGCCACCGAAACTAGACCGAGCGTCGCCAAAACAAACAGAGGGCCGCCTGAACAGTTTGAGGGTGTCGCTGTTCTTGTAATATTCTCGTTTTGGCGCCCAGACGTCACCGAATCGGTGAATCTTTTTTTCCTGTGTAACACCACAGATTTAATTTGATTTTAGTACACACCTATGGGAGTGTCATTGGTAAGTATACATCTATATAGGGTTTAGCTTGTGAGGTGAGAGAGCTTTCTTAAGGACGCATCGGAGTGCGATAGATAAGTTAAGCGCTTTAGAAGCGTACTTCACTTAGTACACTCATATAGACTCGTACTTGTAAAGAACTCATGATTTAGACGTGTTCAAAGTACAAGTACACATCGATGGGTCCCATGATCAAAGACCGATGTCTTTTGGGTCGCTCAAACAAAGACCGTTACCCATTTAGGCCGTTTCTGCATTCGCCGCTTCTTTATCTTGTGGTTCTCGCAACAGGCATCCAACTCAAACAATACTTTCCAGGTGACGTTTCAAACATATTAGAGAATGATTATCTGAAACAATTTTGTGTGGAATCAAAACGTAGAGATTGTTCTGGGACTTCAAAATGAACGCGTTGAGCGGTTAAGAAGGAGATCGATCTTTGTTCGAGGGACCCGGAGCGACCCATCGACATTAGATATTGTGGCGCATCCACAGACGGGAGCTAGTTTAGTCTCACAAATAGCCTTCTCCACGGGGCCTGTGGGAGCACGAGGGCCCTGGGTGAACATTCGAGGTGGGCAGGGAGCTTTTATCACGGTCGTAAGAATCTCTACCTTTGGCTGGGACAATGACGCCCGTTGACTATCGTCTTCGATGCCCCTTTTCTCTCTGTGCGTTGAAGGTGCAAGGGACTTGCCAAGAATATCTCACGGGATAACTCCGGGACCGGGGGTCTGACGGGATTACCGGTGGTTTGTGGTATACTCAAGTCGACATAATTACAACCTTTTCTGTACACTTTTTGTACACTGGTTGCGATTTTCCCTTACCTAATTACGGTTTTCCCTGACCTCCAACGCCTCTTTAAATTTCCCTTACTTTACTATGACTCCCCTTATTTCTCTGACCAGTGTGAACGTGTGAACCTTGCGTTGCCCTCGAGCTGTCGGCCGCACTCTCAGACTGTTATTGACTTGTCTGTAGTTAAAGAGCATTTTACACAGCAATAAAAAGTACTGTTATTATATATGTAAGATTTTGTTCGTTATATTGACCTAGGGTCAGGGCGGGGAAGAACTGGACAGGGGAAGAACTGGACACCCCATATTTTACTTCAAATACCGTAGGCACAGGAATAACCACTATCAAAAGTTGTTCTGTGGCATCAGCGGTTCATTACACGACAGTTGTCAGGTCAGTACACGGCAATTGAAGTAAAATGTGGGGTGTCCAGTTCTTCCCCTGTCCAGTTTTTCCCCGCCCTGATCCTAAGCAGATGATTTTCAAGCTTCTGTTCGGTAATGGTCTCAAGCTGTCGCCCTCAGGAAGGTTCGGGAGAGAATCGCAAGTCGTCGGCTGCCCCTTGCTGTTTTCCACCCTTTCCCAACTTTTCAAACCCCTCGCCCCCGACCCCTCAGGGTTGGTAAAGCGAGAAAACCGCCGGGGAAACACTGACAGATTCCGAAAAACTTCCTAAGCTTACCAAAGGGCGACATCTTCCGACAAAAAGCTTGAAATTCATCTGAAACAACACACAATATATCCGGTATTGGGGGTAGGTTGAGGGGTCGGGGGCAACGGCTTTGGACCATGTGGGAAAGAGAGAGAAGGAAGGGGCAGCCAACAGAATCCGAAGCTTGTCGAGGGCGACAGTTTTAGACTTACACTGAATGGCATTCTCCGTGGCCTCGAGCGAGCCCACGGTGCAGCAAGTGCTTCCCAAGCGCCGTTGGGTGAGCTTACCAACCCTCGGATGTTCAGGCGCTCTAAAGAGGACCCTGTTCAGAAACGCTGTGCCGCTTCACCCTCTTCTTGACTCCGCGCACGCATACCTCACCTCGAAAGCAAGGATCATGGCTGGTACGGCTCGGGTGCCGGACATTGAGCGCAGAGGTCAAAAGTGCCGGTTTTCAGGCCCCCTCAAAAAAACCTCCAACTTTGACGCCTTACAGCTTCCAAACGGTTTGAGCTACGAACCTGGGCGTGTGCTCATTAGCTTTATTAGCTCTTTTTCTACAAGATGGCGTCAACGGATCGTGGTTAAAAAATATTTTTGACCGTTTCCCCAAATTTTGGGTATTTTCAGTACAATTTGGTCGTTTTGGGTAAGTATTTCTCAAGATATCGGTCGTAGATCAAATCTGTGACCATATTCTTGTTCCTTGGGCAATTTTACATAAGAATACTGATTTTCAGCCACTTAGCACCAAAAACCTCAGAGTAGTAAAGAAGCTCCCAAATTAGGTAAAAAAAAGTGGCAAATTTAGAAAACATTGGTTTTCTCGGCCAATAAATTTTTTAGCGACCTAATATTTTAGGATGTTTTTTCTTACCATAAGGGCATCTCAGAAAAGAATTTTGGTCAAAATCGGAGGGGGTCATGGGAAGGCGTTGCACGTATTAAATAAATTAGCTCTATCGCTCAGCCAATCAATACAAGGTAGGTTTACGCCAGACCGCGTCTTGTCGTAACAGGCTTCGCGATGTCTCGCTGCCTGTTTCTCCAATCCACGCCTGGCGTACCTACCTTGGCCTGCGGCGCTAGCCTGCCTGCGGCAGGCAATGGCTTGTCCATTGTCGGTTATTTTTTAACTTGTTGAATGGTGGGGGGCTCCGCCCCCCAGACCCCCCTACATTCTAAAAAGAGTTGTTCCCCCTTTCTCCCAGCCGGAAGTGATCTTTCTGCAGAAAGCTCTATTTTTCGCCGTTTTTTAGGTGTTTTTCGGCTATAAAAACTGAACCAGTCGAGCTAGGATGGTGAAATTTCGCGTGTGCCGAGCCAAGGACATACCCAAGAAGTGTGCAAAATCTCACCGAGATCGGCTCAGCCGTTCAGGAGGAGTAGTACACACAGACAGACAGACAGACAGACAGACATGAAAAACTTTTCAACCCCACTGGAGTAACAGGCTTCGCTATCGCTCAGCCAATAAATGTAGTTTACGAGCTGGTTGTGGCTGATGGTTCCGAAGCCTTGGGGGCGTACGTGACGGCCGTTATGCCCCGCCCCGCCATGGACGGGTCTTCAGGTGTCAGTCGTGCGATCAGTGCTCTTTAACATCTGCTTCAACCCCCATTTCAAAATTTTCCCACAAATCCACCATGCCGTCACAGTTTTCGTGGAAACGCATATGCTCCGAGAGAGCAGTACCGCCTGACGCCCTGAAGCCGGGTCTCCCGCCGCCATTGTCGGGCCACACAGTGGGCCACCTATTTTGCCTTTTCCTATATTAACGAACTACTCGTCCTGAAAATCAAGTTGGTTGTGCCTTTCCTTTGGTCCATGTTAGATGCGGATGAGGGAGAGGTTACGTCTTTGTGCTTGATATTGGCACGCTTCTGACACGCCCTCCCCATGCCTGTTAATTATAACACCAATGCTTTGCACATCGTTGCTCATTCAAATAATAATCTTTAATAATTGTATTGCAGATCCTGTTATTGATGATCCGGAACCACGGCCCCAGAGCCCCCCAACCAACCAAGGCACCCCATCTACTAACGAAGTTCCCCCTCCTAGAAGGACCATTAATCGTCATTGGCTGAGCGATAGCGAAGCCCGTTACTCAAGTGGGGTTGAAAAGTTTTGTCTGTCTGTCTGTCTGTCTGTGTGTCTGTCTGTCTGTCAGCACTACTCCTCCTGAACGGCTCGGCCGATCTGGCTGAGATTTTGCACACTTTTTGGGTATGTCCTTGGCTCGGCACACGCGAAATTTCACTATCCTAGCTCAACTGGTTCAGTTTTTATAGCCGAAAAACACCTAAAAACGGCGAAAACTCGAGTTTTCTGCAGGCAAATGCCTTCTGCCTTGAAGAAAGGGGGGTCAGGGGGTCAGAGCCCCCAGCACCGGCAAGTTTAAAAGTAACAAGGGTCAAGATAGTGTTATCTGAAGATGAAGTAACTATATCTGAAATAAAGGGGGGTCTGGGGGGCGGAGCCCCCCAGCATGCAACAATTTAGAAGTAACCGACGATGGGCAAGCCATGGCCTGCCGAAGGCAGGCTAGCGCCGCAGGCCAAGGTAGGTACGCCAGGCGTGGATTGGAGGAACAGGCAGCGGGACATCGCGAAGCCTGTTACGACAAGACGCGGTCTGGCGTAAACCTACCTTGTTTTAACATTTATGTCAATCTGATTGGCCATGGTAATTATGTGAAGATACTATTGACATGGGTTGATGTGCTCCTACCTTGTTATCCAATGTCGTGTTTGTTTTTCACAGATATGAACCAGGCTCAAAACCTTCTCACATCTATTATTGGCTGAGCGATAGCGAAGCCCGTTACTCGGTGGGGTTGAAAAGTTTTGTCTGTCTGTCTGTCTGTGTGTCTGTCTGTCAGCACTACTCCTCCTGAACGGCTCGGCCGATCTGGCTGAGATTTTGCACACTTTTTGGGTATGTCCTTGGCTCGGCACACGCGAAATTTCTCTATCCTAGCTCAACTGGTTTAGTTTTTATAGCCGAAAAACACCTAAAAAACGGCGAAAAATCGAGTTTTTTGCCGGCAAATGCCTTCTGCCTTGAAGAAAGGGGGGTCAGGGGGGCAGAGCCCTCCAGCCCCGGCTAGTTGAAAAGTAACAAGGGTAGAGATCGCGTTATCTGTGGATGAAGCAACTCTATCTGGAATGAAGGGGGGTCTGCGGGCTGCGGGGCGGAGCCCCCCAGCATGCAACAAGAAGTAACCGACGATGGGCAAGCCATGGCCTGCCGAAGGCAGGCTAGCGCCGCAGGCCAAGGTAGGTACGCAAGGCGCGGATTGGAGGAACAGGCAGCGAGACATCGCGAAGCCTGTTACGACAAGACGCGGTCTGGCGTAAACCTACCTTGTTAACAGCACGAGAGGAAGCCGACCTCCTGTGTCAGGTAGGTTTCTAAGTTAACAATGCTGATAATTATTTTGAAACAAATGCTGTGCTCTATCTTTTTAAAGCAAGTTGGGTCTACTCGATAAGTTTACGTGTTTTATTCCTCTTCCTCATGACATTTCAATCATGAGCATAAGCTACTTTATAAAGTCTGTTTGTATGCAATTGCTTAAGTATGGCTGCAGCAGCTATTCGAAGGGTTTTAAAAAAGAGCAGAGATGACTTTTCTAAGGAGCTTTATTTATACAAGTTCCAAGTTAATTAGTGGCATGTCTGAACTTATGTTTATGTTGTTACAGTGATGGAGGAACCAGTGGAAAACATTCACAACATCACAACAGGCCCGTCATTTTCTTGGCAAAGGCAAGGTCCCTCTGGTAAGTTTTTAATTTGTCATGTGTGTTTCCTCTTGTTTTTTCTTCTGTCTCCACCCCAGTATTATCTTTTATTTCAGTACATAATAGTAGTATCTTTAAAGAAATTGGGGGAAAGGGGGAGGGGGCAAGCTAAATCACTTTTTCTTTCCTTATCCTCCTTTTTTTGTGGTGCTCATCTTTAGACTCTAGATTCTAAATGTGATTCTGAATTGGATTATTGCAACTTGCAAATGTTCTTTGCAGTTTCATGTGATAACTCATCATGACTTTGTTGTTTTCTGCTGCAGGCAACTCCAATCTGCCATGGGAAGGGCAGGCCAGTGGTCCAGGTTTTGCGCCTCCCTCGATGCCTGGACCCTCATCCAGCAATGGATACCAGCCTGCATCCCAAGGTCTGCAGTTTCCCTTGCCAGTGCAAAAACCAGCTGCTTGTCAAATCTGCGCCCAGGAAAAGGCAGATAAAATGTTGAGGGACTGCGGCCACTTTGTCTGCGAGTCCTGCATGCTGCCTTGGCTGCGTAGGAGGAAAGTGTGTCCCAGTCCACTGTGCAAACAGTACTGTGACGAAAGTCATTTGTTAACTCCCAAATATGCCCGTTAACTGAACAATGTTATTTTGTTTTGTTGTTCTGTTTTTAGTCCTCTAGTCACTTTGGGTAGTAATTCGACTATTTTGACTGTTAAGACAGTATCTTTTTTAGTGTGCCTTTGGACCACCATCTTTCAGTTTCTACTGTTTTATGTTTGATTTGTCTTAAAAATGTGGAGTACTTTCCTGCACCTGTATCTTTCAGTTTCTATAGAAACTGTTTTATGTTTGTACTGTTTCTACGTTTTCCATCTTTCAGTTTCTACTGTTGATTTGTCTTTAAAATGTGGAGTACTTTCCTGCACCTGTATCTTTCAGTTTCTATAGAAACTGTTTTATCTTTGTACTGTTTCTACGTTTTCCATCTTTCAGTATGTTTTATTTGTCTTAAAAATGTGGAGTACTTTCCTGCACATGTATCTTCACTTGGAATAAAATGATTGGTTGTTTTGGAAACTAAGTTCAACTTTGTCAGCCCTGACCCTCATGTCCTCAAAATTTCAATTTTCCTTGCCATATTCCATGAAAAATGACTCATTTTCTATGAAAATTAATGGGAGACTGTGTAGGTTCACCTTTTGTTTTTATCCTTGTTTTTGTGGTGGTGGCATTGGCAAAGACAAAGATACTCTTGTCTCCTACCGCTCTTAAGGCAGCAACTCACATAAGGACTTTGTAAGATAAACACCAGGGGGAAAAAACATTTCCGATAAAATGTCAGCTGAGAGGGCGTCCTCAAATTACAGCATACTTATCATTTTCAGGCAGAATCCTTCTTTATGTTATTGAACTTGGGTTCTGCACAGTGATATGTGCATTTAATTCCTTTGAATTGTAAGAACATTCAAACATGTGGGACCTTTCATTAGGAGAAAAGACAATTGTACATGGAACCATTTCTTGTTTGTATTTATTGATGACAGATTTACAATGGCATAGTTGTCTGGACAACAGTTAATTTGAAGTTCATGAGTAAACAATAAGAATATAGCACTAAAATACAATTTTAAGTTGCCTTGTTCCCTCTTCCTTCCCCCCAAAAACGGAAAGACAAAAACAAAAATCAGGCTCAATGGCCAAAAAGAAGCAGAGAGTTCGAACACTTTAAGTCCCTTCCCACAGAAGTCAGACACTTCTTACAATGCCAAATTATGTCTTCAAATTAAATTACAATTCTTAATATTCATTGTTTTAGTCATCAGCAACATCTTGATAACATAGATTCTAGACAGGAAAATCAACATTGTTCCTTTGTCTTGGAAACCCCATAGCATCATATGCCACATTTTCCATTGAGAAAGCAGCAGCATGTAAAAACTCAGCGATAAGTTCATCAGAAGGATTGGGGTCCCGGAGAAATACTGCAGTAAGCCTGCGGATGTTGTCATCATTGGTTATTGATGAAGAGGCTCGGTGCCTTGTGGGAATTATACCTATTTCTAGGCTCATTGTGTCATCGATAGTTGTATCCTCAAATTCCACAAAAGATCCTTCAAATGAGAAAGAAATCAATTCAATGTTCGAAATGCGAAATCATTTAGGTAGAACTATAAAACTTAACTTACGAATGAGGTGGTAGACATTAGGATGATGCACTTTCAGGCGAAGATTCATACGATGATTGTTACTCTCACTGAATAAAAAAAACAGCAATAAAAGACGAGTCAAGAAGCTACTTTCAAGCTCAATCAAATTAAGAAGCACACACAAACCTGGCATTGTTGGTACGATTGTCACTTCCACACACAGACAAGGTTCGACCTCTGTTAACATGCCAAATCCAGTCACTTTGCACATACTGAAGGAATGGCCGTACTGTGTGGTATAAGAAAGGTCCCAGGGCCATGGCTTCCCTCCCAATCACATTCATACCACGCTGCAGAAGATGTTGAGGAAGCAATGGGAGAGCACAACAGTGTCGGATAACATCGATCAACTGAGGGTACTGAGTAAGGACATAAACAGTCAAATTTGATCGTGCCCAGGATCCTAAGTTCTGAAAGAAAAACAAATAAGCTTACTGTAGAGCTTTTCAGGAAGGAGCTTTTCTATTCCATGTGCAAGGTGCCACCAAAATTAATCTTTTAAAATTGCTACAATGGTAACACTGAGAATGGAAGAGTCTTGATCAATAGCAAATTTTGGATGAGGTTACTTATCACCTAAATTTGGGTGAGGATTAATTTACTGTCCAAATTTGGGCAATGGAGTTTTTCTCCCTCAAATGTGGCTGATAAAGGGTGTATCAGTTACCATCATGGCTAGGTAGTACTATCACCTTAATTTGGGTGGTAAGGAATAAATACCTGTTCCAAAATTTTATTCCTGATCATGACTCTTTTTTTCTCAGTTATAGCGTTTCACAAAGGAAATTTCATGTAATGGTAATAACTTTACTGTGGTCCCTTGCAATTGCTATTATTAGTAGTCGATACTCACATTCACATAATGAAAATAACAGCTTTGAACCTCAACTCCAAATACAGCTTCTACAGAGTTAATTATGGCATCTTCAAAATCACACACAGCAAGATTAAATTGCCACTGTATCAAACGAGCTCTTATATGAAGGAGAACTGCTGTGTATGCCACTTGAGTTTTCCTCTCCATTTAACACCACATCAATGGAATGACCTGCATTCAAACAATTTATGACACAATCATAGAAGTCATTGCAATCTTTGACATATAACAGAAAGTATGAAACAAGTTTAATCATACATACAGTGTGTGATGAAATGGTTACTATGGTGAAGATCTGCAATGACAAAGAAATTTTTTATCATTTACTGTTCTCCCAAATAATGTGTAAGGCATTGTAAGTAGAAACATCACTGTGTGATTGTACCTGATAGCACCTGATTCGAGCTGGCGTTATTTTAAACGTTCCATCCAGAAAAATTATCTGTGCTTCTCTCATTATATTTATACATCTTTCACTGATGAAAATTATGCTGAGTGAGCCATCTGCTGCTTGTGCAGCACCACTGTAAATGTTGTCCTGAAGGTCCAATGTTCTCGTAATATGTTGCCATGCAGGATCCATCAAAGTGTGTATAAGTTCTTGGAAAGATTGAGGCGATTCGGGAAAGACCAACTGACGAGCACGCTGCATAGCTGAGCGTAATCTTCTTTTGGTTAGTTGTACTCTGATGGCTCTATTCTGAATTCTGAAAACAGATCAAGTTAAGACAGTAACAAACCATATATGTACAGTACCACCAAAGTTTACCTTCTCCTTTCTTCTTCCAAAATTTCAGTAAACGACACATATGTCACTGATGCAGCTCGTTCACAATGTCCCTCCGAAGAGACTGGACTTCATGACGAAGGGGATCAGGTACATGGTTATGAGCTTGGGTTTCCAAAAAGGCCAGCCCAACGCGGAGCAAGGCCCGCCCATGGCAAGATCGGTGGAAACATCGGAAATATATTGAGTCTTCTGTGGCGTTGTTTATCGTGTAGTAATAGCCATTGTGAACATGGAAGACATAGGTATTGGGCCGACTTCCAGGCTCGCGCGTCACTCTGACAAGGTTATAGGCCAAATCCATTTCATAAATTAAACCTGTGACAAAAATAAATAAAACATAATTAGACTGTACGTTAACAGAACAAAAGGAATGAATGCAACCGGGCACGGAATCTTTAAAAGCAAGCATACATTGGCGCGGCACAAGAGGGGAGGGGGCAGGGGGAGGCTAACAGTACACGAAAGCGTTCTCTCTTGAGTTTACCAATCTCGCACATACTTACCATCATGTCGAATCAAAAAGGACTCTTTCTGGAATCAGAAGTTTGGTGTTTCCTTTTGCACAGTGCTCCTGACACACCACCCACGCACCACGCACCCACGGCAAACTACTCTAACCTGGGTGGCCTCCTGAGAAACGGCACAGATGAATTTCTCATACTTAAGCAGAGCTGAAAACAAAGCAGAAGGCTGTTTGTCTTTGTTTGTTTACAAGCAATAACAACTGATCCAGGAAGCGGAAGAAGGGGATAACTCAATTTTGGCCATTTTTCAGGAGAAACAAAAACCTGTTAGCAGGGAAAACTAAAACAAAACAAATGAATGTTGCAGATGTTAATAATTTCAAAAAGCATTAGTAAAAATTTTTGGAAAAAAATCAAAAGTGTAAGGTCACTCCGTAGAGGATTTCTGCGACTTATCACTTTCCGTTGAAATGGAAAACAGAGTCAGCTCACCTTATATTTCCTAAACAAAGTGGAATTTGGAGACAAGTCAAGTGGAACAATAGTCTACATAAAGTGTATGTTACTCTGGTGTATTTTTTGGACTTAGCTCTTTTTTCCAAATTGAAATTTAAAATTAAGGGGGGGTTAAGTTGAGTTGATTCTTTTTACACTAGATTCATAAAAACACAAGTTGAGTTATATCCTTTTGCCAATTTGTTAAACGGACTCATATAGACTAAGGTTGAGTTATCTCCATTTTCTAATGAAATTTAGACTGTAAAAGGGGTTAAGTTGAGTTATACCCTTTTTCCATGTGGATTTTCTCCTAAACTGCTTGGAATTCAGTCAAATAATTTGGTGTAATGATGTAAACCATTCTAAGGCACAATAATAAAATAAAAACTCAATTTGGGGATAAGTCAAGTTATTCCCTTCTTCCGCTTCCTGGATCAACTCTACAATGAATTTGGAGTGTGACGTTTGGGTTAAGTTATTAATTCACCCTTGTCACGCGATATAGCTACTGCTGAAGCCGGTTACCTGGTTTCAAGAGAGCAGGGCACTCGTAGAGGTTCTCATTACTATCATGCCAACAATGGTTATTATTATCATAAGTATCGTCAACTGAGTGATACAATTTATTTGCGATGCACCAACGTCTCTTGTCCCTCTCGGGGTCTTTTAAAATTGGGATCCTTTCATGAAAGCTCCTCACATTCAGGCCATGAGCCTGATCATCTGAAAGCTGAAGTCCTTCGTGAACGTTCCAGACTTCTTGGTCAAGCAAGCTCATTGACCTTTGCTACAGTTGAAGATGTTTTAAATGATGAAAGGTTTGTTCATTTTATGGGCTTTGAGCATGAACCAACATATTTTTTTTACACCATTTTGTCTGTCCTTTTCAGTAACATCAATCGGAGATATTCAGACCGCCTAACACCCAAGGTTCTGCTACCCGCCATGCGAACTGCACGAATCAATGCATACCCTGAGGAACCAAAAACTCTGTCTGAGCTTCAAATTATATTAGAATGTGAAAACAACAAGTCTCTCACTGCTGTGTCTCAGTTCAGAGACAATATTTATGGAGGATCGGCCAGGGGAGAAGATGGTTCAAAGTCTATTTTATTTATAACAAAGCGCTGTGTGGATTTCATTAAAACAGCTCCATTTATTTATGCCTTCTCCTTTCCACTGAACCAGTCCTTGGTAAGCTGCTCAGTATAGTAAATAATATTTGCATTAAAGCTGTTTGTAAGTGAAAAATATAACAATAATTATGTTGCTACTTCAGCAGGTTCACACAATTGCTACAGTATTGGATAACATTGTAAGTACCAGCACTCTTTCAACTTATCCTTCTGTGCAATTTTAACTACACTCTGCTAATAGTTTCATGTTATAAATTTTAAGGAAATTCCCCTCGCCTGGTTCATCATGGAAAGTTCCACATTGGCAGCCTATCTGGCAGCTTTCATGCTGCTTCGATCGAAATTAATTACTTGGCAGTTCAGAAATGTCGTATGCAAGGATGATGGACCAGATGCTGAGGCGTATCGTTTAATTTTTGCTGCTGATGTGGAAGCTCCCTTAGACTACTATATCCAGGTAGATTTTCCAATGTTCTGGTTGGCTCATGTGATCAATTCCTTTTTGTCAAACCAATTTTTTTGCTAATAAGGATCTAGGGCAAACTGCAAACACATTCTTTGGCAATGAAGCCATCCAAGAGCATCCACATGTCAATACCATTGTCAGTCTCTGCTGTGTTCTACCCATTTTGCCTCAAGATTTAACAATCAATGGTTTAGAACTTATTCAAAGAGAGGTGGACAAATTGAGTCCCTCCCTGCAAAGTAATTTTGCAGTTCTGCTTCATTATTTGAAAACTGACTGGTTGTTTCATGCTGAAAGAGGAGAAATATTCTCAATATGTGGTAACTCGGAGAGAACCAGCAATTCGATGTAAGTAAAAATTAGAAGATCGTAATTCTGATGAACTTTCAAAGCATGTTCTTATAAAAAAGGTTTGTTTCCAGGAGATGCACTCTTGATAGGCTGAAACAAAAACTTCAAAGCAGTTCAAATGTGGGGCTTTATCGCTGTATAAGTAAGCACAAGTACCATCAGTGTAAAATGTTTAAGGAAGAATTCAAATCTGACTGTGTGTTAATACTTTGCCTTCTAGGTTCTCTTCTTCAGATTGAGAGCATGTCCTTTAAAGACATTACTGAACTGCATCAGAGAAATATTTTGGCTTTAGACTCTACTTTAGTTAGTTATTAAGCCTACAAAAAATCAGGCAAATCGGAGAGGGTCACCGGAAGAAGTGGTCCGTCTTAGTTGATTTTGCTCATATCAAAATGAACCAGATTCAGACTCTGTAAGTACCAGTTTTCACTCCTTCTTTACAATTCGCAATTTTTGCAGTGCTGTTTTCTGATTGTTATAGGATTGCCAAATGGCAAATGACCAACAGCCAATGGTCAAGAAGGCTAAAAGGCAGGATAAATTAAGCCCGAGCAAAGAGGATCTTGTACGTATTTTTCTTGAAACAGTTGCACTAAATTTCATAGACAGACAATTTTATTCCCAACCCTGTTTTTTTTTGTTTCAGGATGGGAACCACAAGGCACAACAGAATAAGGTAAATATTTAAAATCTAAAATGTAATGCCAAATTATTTAGCCTGTTTCCTATAGCTGTCATGAGCTGAGCAGTATCTATAAAAGGCATTTTACTTATTTTGAATTAAATTATTTTCCTGAATGTAGCTTTTTGCTCCTGTTTTAGGAACCTACCACCAGTAAGGATAGTGACCAACAGGCTGGATGTTCCAGTAAGGATGAGGTTGATGTGTGTGCTTTTTACTTTTAAAAAATAAACTTTGGACTTAGATTACAATCAGCTAATTTTTGTACTAAATATACTTTCTTTTGAACAGCTTGATGTTTCCCTTGATGATGAAGAACAACTGGTCACCAATAACAAAGGGACCAACCGAACTACCAAGAAAGGAGGAGGAAAATCTTGCAAAGTAACTGTGTTTTATGTCAAACTAGCACTGAAGTTGCACTACATTAATTTTTAAGTAATTCTACAAATTGTTTTTTTTTTTTTAGAATCAATGGACAGTGCCCAATTGGAGCAAAGTTGTGAAAACTGAGCTAGACGAAGGTAGACTTTACATGGCCAGTAACCAAGCAAGAATTAAAGAAGAGAGTGCTTGGCACATATTGGGAGTGTATGGGTGGTCTCCCCCACAAGGGGCTTACAATAGTTTCGCTAAATTCCTCACTGCGGCACATCCAGTGTATAAGGTATTGCTAAGCCAAGCAACCGACCAACCACATGTAAGCCATGTGCTATTTATGATTACTTTAAGCCAATGTTAACTGCAGGATCTACATTTTTATTTTATTATAATTACAGACACAGTTTGCCAGTAGCCTCTCGACCTTTATAAGGAGACAGAGAGGCCTCTTAGAAGAGCGGAGAGAGGAGCAAAGACAAACAATGTGTGTCATTGACGTGTAAGTCTAAAACATACAAAACTCCATGAAAGTAAACATAAAATCATATTATTAAAATTACCAATTTACCTTCTCAGAGATGAAGATATGAAACAACAAGTACAGGAGCTTAAGGCAAACCATGAAAGCATAGAAAGAGCGAAGAAATTGATGGAAAAAACCCATCCAATTAGAGCAGCCAAAAGGTATGAAACATACCAAGATCAGCTGAATGAGGAACCATATTTGAGAAAACCTCAACTGGTAAGAACATGTGGCAAGCAATTAAAACGTTTCAGCTTGACTAAAACAGATAAAATCAAATTTAAGTACAGTGGTTAAAATATTACAATTCTTTTCTAGCTGAAACTGGAGTTTTCCTTAGGCTTGAATGCCATTCTAAGTGAAGTGGAACGCCACAAACAAATTGACTTGATGTTCCAAAAATTTAAAACATTGAACAGCGGAGTTGACACAGAAAATGATACAGAGCTGCAAAAGCTCCAACACATTGTCAGTCTTCAAGACACCATTGTGCAACAAAAGTACACCAAAAGCAAAGTCAGGTTGTTGGTGCTGCAAGAGGTAATAGTTCATTAAGCAACCTTATGTATGCCCCTGTGATGAGCCTCCCTGGAAACGCTTTAACTTTTGTCCTATTCTTTTAAGGCTCAGACTAAGGCAAAAGTTATATGTGACCCTGCGAGGGTGGCCCAAAAAAAAAAATCGAAGGTTTTCCGATTGTCCAATTCCGCTCAAAAATCGATTCTAGACCGAAAAAAAAATAACCCCTATTTTTTGCGTTTTGCCCTGAGACGATTTTGAATACCGGCTCAATAGCGAAAATGGTTTTTAACCCGTTTTAAGCACCAAAATTGTCATAACAATTACAGTTTTTATCGGATTTTCAAAAACGATACGGCAAAATGTTTGGTTTTAGACGGCGAACAAATTACATTTCCACCAACTTTTTGTCAGACTTCGTCTTCAGTATTCTGCTTGCGATTTTCGCTCAAAAAAACACATATTGTTCACTATTTGGAGATAATTTTCTTGTTTCGGACGGCTAAGATGCGTCCCTATCTACTTTTTTATCTTACTCTATCCCAAAACAAACCGACCACGTGAAATAAAGCCGTGCAAATCAATTTGCATACCATCTAGGGGCAAGCATTTCGTTGTTTTTAGTATAAAGAAAAGTCTGTTGAGCTCTGAGGCCGCAATTTTCCTCCGATTCTCAAACCCGAGATGTCGTTTTGTTTAGTTTTTTAAGACAAACAAAAAAGATTCTGGTCATTCTTTTGTCAGACAGCGTTTTAAGATCCGTTTCTGCTTGAAACGTGCAAAAATCGCCCAAATTCGAATTTTTCGCCAACTTTTGGACCGTTTTTCTCGTCAGCGATCCACGTCACCAGCTAATGATCACTCTTTTACCTTCCCTAGCCTTTCTGGAATGGCTGGAATAAGAAGAGCCAGGTCCTAGACATTCAATAACTAATCTTCACTTATAGCTACATTAAAACTAAAGATTGGATGCGCTTTTGCTCCGGTCAAACTCATGCGTTCACAAATCTTCGAAATCGGAGTCTGTAGGTTGTTCGGGGGTCTTCTTCTCCAAGGGTTCTGTGACTTCTTCGTCTTTTGCGACTTTGCCTTGTTGGGTGTTCACCTCATCCAAGATATCCTGATTTTCAGGGTCTCGTTCTTTTCGATGTGTTTACGTGTCATGGAATCTCCGTACTTGAAGCATGATTCTCTTGTCACCTCTGGGACTTTATTGACCCATTTTGCCTCTCGTATGCCTTCATAGTTGTCTGGATCCAACCTTAGTAGAGCACCTGCTGCCACACAGGCAAAGGGTCCGCCATTCGTGGCATTCAGGTTCTGGAAGTAACCATCATCGAAGGCTCTGCTCCAGATCCAGAGCTTACTATGAGTTGCCTTACTTGGATTATTGTATGTGTTCAAGAAGTTAATCAGATCCTCAATGTACTTGCTGGTGTTGTTGAGAAACATCAATTTCAATAACATTGACAGAGCCATGCCTGACCGTTTAGACAGCTGCAGTGCATAGTATACGGGTAAAAGGCCGTTATAATGGATGTGAGTTAGAAAAGCGGCATTTCCGAATCCATCCATGTCTCTGGGTTCCCTGCTTTTGACGTCTAGGAAGTGTGCTAAAATCATCTGCGTTATCGGTTGGCCTTTAGCTAGAGAGGTTTCAACTCCTTTAACGCAGTCGTTGCAGGGGGCCCCTATGAGACTTGGGCGGGTCCATCCCCCGTATTTGGCAAGATTGGCATAGAATGACTTCTTGAAGAACATGTTTCCTACTGTCTCCTTAGCCTTCCCAAGTGTCCTCAATAGAGAGGCAGCAAGGAAGCCCACTGTGTTAACCATAATCATGTAGCAGAGTTCTTTTTCCTGAGTGTCCTTCGTTGGAGATCTGAAGCTCTCTAGAAGTGTGTTGAAATCCGCCAGGAACTGAGTAGTGTCACTATCTATGTAAAATGTTTCCACGTGTTCCTTGGTTTTCTCTGCATCTGTTTTCATTTTATCTTGTAGTGCCGCCTTCACGTCATTCAGGGATCTTTTAGGCTTTTCCTCATTAGACAATGTAGCCCGTTGTTTCTTATTGTATTTTCCTCCATTCCACTCGGTGGTACTAGAGGTGTGTGACCAGACAGAGATCAAATTCCCCTTAGGCCCTCTACAGACTATACCGCTGACAGCCCTAGCGACCAGGATAGCCCCAGTTTCGAGGTACTCTAATTTCCCAGTGGTGTAATAAT